ATTGGCTCGCCCATAAAGACTACTGATTCATTTCACAGTTGTAAACTGTAAGTACTAGAGTTGGAGACTCATGATTGGTGATAGAAATTTTGGAGCAGGCTAATAAGGCATTAGTACCTTTTGCGTAGGATTGGCCTATGTTCAAAACAGGGAAATGGAACAGTTGTCTGAAGGCTGGCCTACGATAAGTATTCCTCTAACCTATCATTGTTATTGTACTAATACGAACTTTTGCAGATAGTCTTCGGAATTTTATGAAGATGATTTTGCTTGTGCTTGCAGTTTCAATAGGTAAATGACTGACTGAACAATACGCATGTAACCTACTACAATATGCTTCTCAGGTTTGACCTTTTCTGAGTCTACAGAACATGAACAACCTATTGAAAGGGAATGTCCATGCAATCCCTCTAAACTATGGCTAGACGTAGTGGTTGCAATTGATAGCTCAGCTGGAATGACGGGCCAGGGAATGACACAGGTGTACTAGAGAAAACCTTTCCCATTGATCTCTCCAAATGATCGTTTAGGTCTTAGCGAACATTTTTACTGTGTTCGAAGAAACTAAAATTGCCCAAAATGAAGGGCAGCATACACGACTTGCGGTTGTCACCTATGGCAAGAAAGCGACGACGGTGCGTCTACAATCAACGTAGTGATTTGTTATAGCGCAAGTAAGGCTGTTCTTTAGAGGTACAATTTAACTGACTTGAAATCTACCGATGAAGCGATGGACAAGATTTGGGAGATTACGTGTGGAAACGATGCATATTCAAATTTACAGGAGTGAGTTTCGCCATGAATTCCAATAAGCCAGGACTGATTGAAGAATTACAAGCGTAAGAGCAGACCACTATTACATCATCATAGGAAACATCTTTAAAGTATAGGTATGTCTGGGGATGCCTTCAAAAAATTCATCTTGTTCAAAAATTTGATGGAATCACGAATTCGATTCCTTCCTAAGTCACGATTCATGCCTCAGTGCCGGGCTGCTTTTTCCTTAAAAAAGCGTGAAC